CTACCTACTATCCTACCCTAATAAAACTATTTTTGTTGGAATTTAAGCAATAAAACCGGGCCTGATTATAAGTTACATATAAACTGCACAATATTAATCACTACCCTAGTAACAGTGAAATACCACCGCCGAAGCAAACCTCCAGAATAAGCGAATTTCCATTTGCGAGATTAACACTAAATTATCTCTTTAAAATATTTACATTAATTCCTTATTTAAATAATATTAGTTTAATGAGTACTAAGGTTTGCTGCAGCTGTAAGAGTTCAAAATCGGGTTTTTGATGGTTCGTTATTTTATTTCCAAAGTAGTGAGGCCATATTTTAATAGCCAAAGACACTATAACCAATCCAGTGAATACGGAAAAAAGATTTGAATCTTAATTGGTAATCTAGTTTTCTCGAAGTAGGCAGCGTAAATTTACATTTTGACGGTACAGACAGAATGACAGAAAGACAGACAGACAGAAATTGAGATGAGACTTGTTTCGGCTTTCTTAGGCCATGAAACGTAAAAATAACCAAAAACTGCATAATTCTACGCAATGGATAGACAACACTGTAATTTTATTTCTATAGAAGAAGACTACTACTCTACTAGTCAAATTTGTACAGTTTTAAGCACTCGACACATGACAAGCTGGTCGGAGTCTGACACCATTCAATCACTGCAAGGGATGCGCCCAGAGGTAGACGAACATTCAGATGACTTCAACTTCAATTTCAACTTTCTCATTTTGCAATGTGCCGTTATAGCCTTACTTGGAAGAGGGGGATTTTCGGACCACGAATGAGTTTGTATTTGTTTAGTTTTAAATACATCCGACCTGAATATAAAATAGCAATTGCAAGTCCGCAGTTTGCGTTTTTGATCAGTAACGTAATTCAAATTTACCAAAATAAAGTAAAGTGTCTAAATCTAGTGCAACAAACCTAAATATTGACTACTGGTTTTGATAAACGTCAATTAGTAATACTTAACGTTATTTAAGCCTATTGTATGTTTGATAACTAACCTCCTGACTTTTATTTCAGTTACTAAGTACAATATTATTGTCAAACAATGCAATAATGTCTTTTCATAAAATTTGTACCTGAGAAATCTAAAAAATGGAAAATGCATTTCTCGTAAGTGTAAGAAAATCTTAAAATGATACGATTTGTAATGATACGACCTCCAAACGAGCCATTTAGTATTCTTATTCAAAACACCAAACACCCCTACTGGATCAAAATATGCCTGCACGGCGCAACCCGGCACGGCGGGAAGCCCCTCTCGTACAATTTAAATTACGTACATAAGCTAAAAATTAAAAAAATGATATAGAACATTTCACTCTTTAGATACAGAATCCACTGTTTTTAAACTTACCTGACCAAAAAATAAAATAAAGTAGTAGCCGACAAAAAAAGTTCCGTGGAAATTTTTCATGTCACATTTCATACATTTAAATCTACTTTATTTGAATATTTAAAATGAAAAGTGCCGGGGGACCAAGCCGTGGTTCGGTATGTTTATTTAGATTATAAAAGCAATATAAAGGAAACTCGCGTTTTCTTTATAACTAATTTAGGCTTTTATTGTTTAAGTTTCAGTGGAATTTTAATTTACTATGATGTAACTTTAAATGGACAATGCAACTCATTAATTTGTTTTAATCTTACACATTTCTGTTATTGTAAATAAATCATACAATTGTTAAAAAATAAAAGAAGTATTTTTTTTAATACGTTCCTATGAAAGGAATTAATGCGATCACAGGTTAATACAGTAGCAATCAGCTACAAAGCATTAAAACAGCACAGTACAGTGTATGTACATACTCACAAATCACTGTGTGGGTGTGATTTATTTCTTGGTACTATAAGTAAAACTTCAGCATGGACATACTCTCTAACGTACTATCATATGATGGATTAGCTGAAGGCAGATTGACAGATAAGTCCGATTCAAGCTTATATTGCTTACTATAAAGATTGTTGTAATACAATTAACTTTAACTAGTGGTCGTCCAGTGGTCGAAAACTCGACCAAAAATATGTAATGTACAGGTTTCAAATGAGTTAGGCATAAAAAGATTTTAGCTGTGTGGGTAAATAAGGACTTCTGGAAAATTTAAATGTGATATTTAGATATGTGCTTACTCAGGAACAATTCCGTTCCGGGACACTCTTTATAAATGGAAGGTTAACGTGATTATACATTTGCATTTTACATTGTCAAAATACAATAGGTATTGCGCAACCGTGATATGTTAAGTCATTAACCTTGGTTCAGTAATAAAACTACACCGTGTCCTTACTCAATCCAAAACAAAACTTGCTTACTGTACAACAATAAATCACGTAAAGAACAAAACAAAAGGAAATCTAGACTAATAGACTACTGATAGGTACCGTAGTCATCATAGGCTACTACTACATGATGTTTCAGAACAGAAGTATGGGGATGAAAATATTAAATAACTCATAAAACACCATAAAATCATAGTACTGTACTTAAGACGTTTTGGTAATAACAACAATGATAAAAATAAGATAAAGATAACAATGATGTAAAACACCTCGTATTATTTATCTTTGTTCTATCCTCTCTTTGGTTTCTCTCCATCCACAAGTGGTCATGGTTACTAATCACCCAACGACCCAACCACAAAATGTTGTAGTGTTGTGACAGCAGACAGGAGCAGACGATTGTCAGTATGTCAGTGTCAGTGCAAGATTGTCAGTCTGTAGGTGCGAGCGTATAGCTTGACCTTGAAGCTACTGATCGATATTTCTCCGTTTTGCTTCCATCTTATTTTTGTCAAATGGACTTTAATGTTTCAATAATTGGGAGCCTACTGCACATAAAAATTACCGTAAATAGTTAAATATATAGTTCATATCGAAATATTAGAATGAAAAACACAATTCATAAAACTTTTTCTTGGGATTTGTGAGGTTACATAGGCATCATGTCGGTCCGACCCCAGTTAAGCGAGGTTCTACTGTATTTGCAAGTTTAAGTTACAAATAGAAAACCCCATCACATTATGGTTGGTATTCAATGACCGATGTATTATTAAAAATTAATTCATAACTTGTTAGCGAATTTCCCTATAGGAAAGTAGCTATTTTGATATTAATCAGAAGCATTCATTACAGCTTGCAGCACTTATTGGTATGTATAAATATCCAAGTTACTATTACTTTAAAAAAATAAAACACGAAATTGCGTGGCCATTGAATTTTAATAAACACAGTGTTAAACGTTTTACCCTGCAGAATACCGGATGGTGATGGTAAAGAGTGTTTGGTTTCAAGAAAAAAAAAATAGTTTAACCAGCTTTACTATTTGTTTTGAAAAACAATAGAAAGGAAACTATAAGGATAGGTATGGGATTAAACTGAAATAATTGCAGGGAACCTTAAATAGTAAAGTCCACAAACTGTACATTGTTAGAGAGAGAGAGAGTGTGCGAGAGAGGGGGACTGTGAGGGAGAGAGAGAGAGAGAGAGAGAGAGAGGGAGAGAGAGAGATTTGATAAGGAATCTGAAAAGTAAACAAATAATCGTTTCTGGCGTTTGTCATATTGTGCCCCCCCCCCCCCCCGCATTTGCACTCGTGACCACTTTTTGTTGCTTCCTTATCTTTCATCCGTCCCAAAATAGAATTCCTGTAAAAGTTTGTAAAATTAAAATTATTATAGAAATCTTTTATCTATCGAGTGTAGTTTCGTGGTTATTCTTATCAGATAGAATAATATCGTTGCCATATGTTAGTTCCTCCTTCGGACAACAGTTCCCGTATCTCGGACAAGATTCACGTATATTTCCCGAGATAAAGAAAATCCGTATAATTCCCGATCTTCCCGGTCCGTGGACACACTGTAAATATTGTACGTGATACAGGAGAAATTAACTAAAATTTCTACTGAAGGTGAAAAAAAATAATCAAAACTTAAAATATGAGATGATGAACAGGTAGGATCAAGATTCAACCGTTTATAATTAATTAATATTCGATGTTCCTTATTAGAGGTGCATCATAGTTATTTGGAATATGAACATGCTTAAACATTAACACGTAGTTAATCACTATCCCAACATAAATAGTAACAAGGAGTCAACGAAGGTTACAGACCGCTGGGTGTTACCGCTAAAAAGTAGGCGAGGAGGGTGCCGTACTTGGCTACGCTACTCCACGATAGAACTCACGGTGACAGTCTCCGCATTGGTATTGCAGTTACGCTTATCGACACAGGCAGCAGCACCGGTTAGCTGTTTTCATACGTATAAAATGCACGGGAAGCCATACCTGACTGGCTTTTGGGAGAGCTGACTGGCTTTCGGGCGGGTGACTGCCACACCGAGTAAATTACCAGCGCAGTGACTGCCACTCCGGGTGGGTACAAAAGTATATATATAGATTTATATATATATATATGTGTCCGTGAACGCGATAACTTGAGTAATTTTTGTCCGATTTTGATGAAATTTGGTTTAAAGGTGTAAAGCAGGATAAACTTGAATGAGTTCGCGAACCAGCATGATCGGACCATGGGAACGGGGCTTTACGGGGGTGACCCTCAAAACACAAAATTTCCCAATTTCTCTTTAGACCTTTTTAAAGAGCTTAAAAAAACAAATAATTTAGTATATCAAAGTATTTTTGTTCGGTTATTGGTAACAGAGAAAATTAAAAAAATTGTAAATTTAAAATTCCCATGTTATTCTTATGGAGAATATTGTAAAATGTTGTAGTTTGCTTGTTTATGGATATATTTTGATCAAACTTGGCAAATTAATGTATTTTACACTAAGCTATTAATATTTGACTAAAAAACACACTTTATTAGTTTCCTTGTAGCAGCAAACCTAGGTACTCGTTAAACCTTATGTTATTTAAATATATTTTTTGAAAATCAATTCAGACAAATGGAAATTCGCTTAGTCGGCAGGTTTGCTGCGGCGGGGGTATTTTTCCTTGCGCTTGTTTAATTGATTTACTTTTTTCAGGGACTTGGAAATCAACCGGCCTAATGAAGAAGCATGGGAGATGAGAGAGAAAACTGACGTTGAAGTACCTCCGCCTGAAGTCACTGACAAGTATGTTGATTATAAGCTATGTCTGCATTCTTGATTCATTCCTCTATCCCATATTCCATTTGTGCATCAGAGGTAGTTTTTTTCATATATATTTTTCGTTGAAAGTTCATAGTACCGGTATATGCCTTTTAAAGATGTTCAACATTTTATCCTGCAAGGTGGGGGGTTTGGGGTAATACTACCCCTTGCAACTTCGGCCTTTTGACCTATTGTAGCACCCCTCAATTCACTCTGACAGTCCTAGGCTTCTGGCATAGCCTTGGAGCTGTGAGACGCCCAATTTCCTCATCTCTTTTAGGTTCCAGTTGCGGCCTTTTCAGAGATGTCAACCTTTTTTGGGCCAAAGCCGTAAGTCCACCTCGTTTTCACAGAACCTGCATTGGTCTGTCTATAACCTCCCTATGGTTCTAAGATGTTTCCTAGTAGGTCTGTGCCCAGTTAGCATCTCTACTATTAATCTGATATCCCTCTTTTTAGGCCCAATACGCCTTTCCAGTCTTTCATTGAGGGATCTATGTTTTTGAAGTCCTTTGTCCTGGGTTGGTCCTCCAAGCCTCTGCCTTCCGTACCTTTACCCAGTCTCAGACTTTGGTTACTCCAGAACTAATCCGGGTACCACAGTAGGGTTCTGGCCCTGTAAGCTGTTCTTCTGCACCCCTCCTGGCCGGTGCATCAGCTTTCTCATGCCCCGAGTGTCCTGGGATCCAAACGATTTTAACTTGGTTCTACTTTGCTAGTGTTTTGAGGATGTTTCTGAGAGGATCAGTATTTTCCCCTTTCTATTCAACTCATTTCAATTTGTATATTAACTAGAGATGTGCGAGTACTCGAGATTTCGAGTTCGAGTCGAGTACGGCCTTGAAACTCGAGCTTATCTTTTTGAACTCGGCAGTTTCGAGTCGAGTTTGGTTTAAAATTGTAAAAAATCAATATTTGTTCAAATGTAACTTGTGTTTACATCAAATGCTTTATAATTTGTATTACTGTAGATTCTACAGTAATACAAATATTTATACAGTGTAAATGGAAATAGAAATGGATACAAACACATATAAGATAGATTTTGATATAAGATAGAGTGAAAGGAAAAGGTTGATATATAGGTGAAAAAAAGGAGTTTTCCTCAGGTTCTTGTCCAGGATGGTTTTCGCACAGCACTCAAACGCCAGGACCTCAGATTGAAAGACTGCCGCTGTGCTTCCCAGGGCTAGGGAGATATTGGTTTTGTTACCATACACCCCTAACTCCGAATTCTCATCCTTTTGACATCCATCTGTATAAAATACCAGCCATGATCTGCCCATCTTAAGATTGCACTGTTGTCAGTCATTCCTTTTTCCTATGGCAACTTGGTAAGGAATCTCAAAGTCGTACTCCTTAGTCATGAGGTGTGGCATTGTTAGTTCCATATCCATACTCAGGAAGTCCCTTAGTATGGACAGGTACTCTGTTACCCATTTTGAGGGCAGCAGTGGCTTCACGATTCTTGGTTTCCTGCCCTAGCGGGAGCATGTCAAGTATTGCTTCAAGTGCAGCTGTCAAGCAGGATTTGATGGTCCCACAGATCCCCGTGCACGCTAGCCTTTGCAGCTGTTGCAGCTTCCTGCAAGCCACTGCTCTGCTCTGCTTTTGGCCACCACACTAGCGTTGTGTATGTGACCATTGGCTTGATTAAAGTATCATAAGTACAATATTTTAGATTGGGGCTGAGCCCCCATTTCTTACCTACAGTTCTTCTTGTCTAACCTTAGAACCATCAGTATAGAATTCTACATCACTTAAGGGGATAGGCCTATTTCCACCGATTGTTTTCCGCGGTGACGGCTAAATCATAAACATATCCTGCGGTCACGGGAACGTCATCCTCGTCATGCGCAATCGCAGCAAAGGGGGTAATTTGCGATTTTTGCAGATGTATCGGTATTGGCATAGACTTTTGACAATCAATTCTCGATACCGATATCAATGTCCAAGTTTCGGCGGTATAGAGAATCGATACATCCTAGTATTTGTACATGACACAACAATCGCCAAAGCACAAAGTTAATGACAGTCTTGAAATACACTCTCAGAGAAAAGGAAAACGTAATTAAACGACACTGTCTGAATCGCTTATGGAACACACTTTTGTCTAATTTCGCTTTTAGAATTACTTTTTCTGCTGTTATACAAAAGAGAGAATTTTCTTAATTGTCAAATGTTTTCAGGGAAACTGCTGAAGGACAGAATGGAGTTGGTAGCGGTGAAGAAGGTGAGACCCCAGCTAACGTAGAAGAGGAACGCAAGGAACTGACATTGGATGAGTGGAAGGCACTGAAGGGAAGCCGCTCTAAGCCTACATATAACTTGCGAAAGGCCGGGGAAGGTGAAGACTTGTCTCAGTGGAAGAAAATGTATGCTCTCAACAAAAAGAAGGAAGAGGAAGAAGAAGAGGAGGAGGAGGTAATATAATAGTACATACTACATATACACTTTTGATTAAAACAATTTAAAACATGTTTAATGATGCTATGTAGGGCTGGGTTGGTTGTCGGTTTTTATAAAAAAAAAACCTAAACCGAGAAGAATTGACGCAAAAATTTGATTTCAGTTCATCGGTTACTGTGCTATTTTGCCACTTGGCGATTTTGAGACTTGGCGACGGTGAAAAACATAAATTGTGAAATAAAAAATAAAAATTGAAATTAATAAAAGTTTGTGTTAAACTTAAAAAGTTAAAAGAGATCTGTGAGTAGGCCTACCAAAAAGAGAATAGTTATTAATTAGAACTTAAATCATATATAATGTCATTTTCTCACTAGTTAATCTTCAACATTTGTTAAACTATGAAAATAAGTCTAGCTGAAAACACATTGATAAATGACAATATCTTTAAAATACAGAATAATAAAACAAACCACATTTGAAAAACTTTGATTTCTCAACTTTTTTCCTTGAATAGGTAAAAATGTTTTCACTGATTATCAACAAAAATGATAGGCCTAACTTATAATTTCACGAAAGCCGCCGATCAATGAGGTGGAGCTGTGAAGCAGACGCAGACCCCCACCCCCCCAACGTCCAACGGGACAAGGGGGTAGGAAAAGAGAAAGTTTGGCAGAATTTGCCCTTGTTGTAAAGCCTGGTTCACATGCCCTCCCTCGCCCTCAGCCCTCAGTCGCTTGCATAATTCTACTGAACAAAAGTTTCTGAGTGTACATTTTAAAATAAATGTATAAATGTTGAATTTTAAAGACAGTGAATTTTAAAGACAGTGCAGTTAAAATAAGTCGGCCTCTGTGGAAAAAAGTATGGCCATAGATATGTTTTACTTTTAGCCTAAATTAATTAATAATATTAATAATTATCAAATTATATTAATTAATAAAACGTAACTAATTTAATTTATAACTAATAAAACACTCAACAGATAAATGAATGAATAAATAACAGTTACATCATTAAGTACTAAACAACGAAATAAAGATTTATAAGCTTATAACATAACATAAAATTGAAGTAAAAACTAAGGTAAATGACAAACAGCTGTTTGGTAACAAATTTGGCCACAGTAAATATATGTTACATTTCCAAGGGAAATTAAAGCTAAAGTTCCATATTTATTTTTAGTTTTACTGTTATAAAGGTAGCATGACGGACGTGGACATATCTTTTATATAACTCTGATTTAGATATCAATTTGAATATTTTTGTTATTTTTAAAGAGGAATGTGCTCGTTTCATAATGTTGAGCCAAACCCCCCCCCCCCTCACCTATATAACACAGCGTAACGCTATGCCATACCCCCTCCCCACCTCAACACATTCAGTACTGACTCGATAGCATGTCAATTGATGTAGGCTAGTCGCGCCACGATCGCTCCTATCGGCCTACATCAATTGATGTAGTTGCGCAACCCCCACTACATTAGTTCAGTATGAGCTCAGCCATTGCCTGGGAATGTTAAAATCGTTGCTAGCCTGTAGCTTAGAATGCGAGCTTTATTTTGGTGTAGGTTGGTATTAAAATTTCCCGTAAAATCCCGTCTGACAATGCTTTTGTCCCGGTTTCGGGGATTTTCTCTCTTCAAGCCATATTACAGGGTTGGTACGGTCAGGGAAAACCTGGAAAAGTCAGGGAATTTTGTTGGTCTGGAAAAGTCAGGGAATTTTGGAAAAAATCTAGAATTTCTCTTGAAAGACTATATTTTTTACAGATATGCTACATTTTGCATCTATGTCTCAATACTTGGTCAAAAACATCAAAGTTTGACAAAAACATCGATGTAACAAAAACATCGTGAACCTACCATCGATATAAAAAACATCGAACATCGACAGACATTCTATCATCACCCTCTGATTACTGGCTTTAATTGATCGCACCGAGCTAGTTAGTACCGTGATGCGCGGAAGGATAGGCCTACATTCATCGTTTCAATTTCAATACGATACTGAATACAATTCCTCATTGAACTTATACCAATACTGATTCAACTTTTAATAAACTAAATAAACTGCACTTTTAGGAGTTTATAAAAAATATTTATCCTGTTAGTTAAAACATTTAATAGTTTAGTTTGGTACTACTTTTTGTCTCCGGTACAAGCATGGTACCGGCAGTTATTTTTCCAATATCACATGTTTCTTCCGATATAAAACGATGATATCGCAAGCAAAATATCGATATATATCAGTATCTAGTGATGTAAAATTCCCGGGAATTTAATATTGAAGAAATATTCCCAGGGAATATTGCCGGCAATATACCCAAAACTCATAAATTCCCGGGAATTAATTTTTAATTAACAGGGTAGGTTTAAAAACTGAAATATATTATAATACAATGTTTTAATTGAAATAAATAACTGGGAGTTTATAATTTCATAAGCTAAATTGATCAAATCGGTCACTGTGGTAGTTATCTGATTAAATGAAATACAAACAATATATGTTCAAACATTTTTGATTTAATAAAACTAGTGTACCTGTTGCTCGAATTCGAGCAATTGCTATGTATTGCACTTGCAGGCGTTATTTTAAAACAAATAACAGTCATAATTTCTCATGACTTTAAAAGATTTGACTCAAAGATTATTGAAATACTCAAGATGTAGGCCTACATAACAGATCGATATAATCAACATTTCTTGTAAATATCTTATCATGTTTTTAAAAGCTGATCTTGTTTTTTTAGTGTTTTCTACAAACAGCCTTACTCATAGCCACATAAGGTTGTCCATAATAATGATTATAAATATAAAAAAAAAAACATTATTTCTATTTTCTCCTTGGTGGTTTTCTATAACTTTCCTATGTTTCCATAGTTTGCAAATCGGCTCTTTCAATTATTACTAAGAAATGCAGCACAGTGTATATTTTATTTATTCAGTTTTCTTTTAGCGAATTTCCCTATAGGGAAGTAGCTATTACTGTAGGTGGCACGGTAAGACCTGGACCCGATATACTTTTTCATTTTAATGTCCCTAGAGACCAAAAACACTATTCACACACCTTCTTCCGCATCACAGTTTGACCTTCACCTGTAACTGTGCGGTTGGACATTGTAAGTTTTTGTCGGTAGGCCTACTCGTTTTTATTCGTAAAACGTCCAAGTTTGTATATAATATGTGTCTGTGTTTTGTATTTAAACTCTTGACGACCTTATTGAAGTGACAGTGTTTTAATGTTCTTGTACAAGATCTGATGATGAGTACTTAAGTCTTCGAAACGTGTTATCCATAAGTAATTCACAGGATCACTCTGGCAGTACTCAGGTAACTTTATACCTTTTATAGTTTGTTCCAGTGATCCAGAGAAAAACAACTCAAATATGAAGTTACAATGCTTTTTTCCCATGTTAATCTTATGGAGAAATACAAAAATTTAAAGGGCCCCAGGGCCTCACTTTCTAATTATTTCCCAAAAAGAGTTTCCTGCACAACTTCACGTTAAGCCTTTTCCAATGACAAAAAAAACATGTCAATTGGTTCAGTAGTATTGGAGGAGTAATTGTCACAAAAACCCTGTTTGCGTATTAAATAAGCACTAGTGTCCCTGTTGCTCGAATTCAAGCAATTACTAAGTATTACAGGCGTTATTTTTAAGCAAATTTCAACCAAGTCAGCAAATATTTGTAGCAAACTGTTAAATTATAAAACTTATTGACTGTTTACAATTAACATAAAAATCCTCTTCTTCTCACTTTTGATTTCTGACAACAGCTGGAGTGTCATAACAGTTTTTGTTTCCAATGTTAATCTTATGGAGAAATATGAAACTTTAAAGGGCTCCAGGGCCTCACTCTCTCATTATTTCCCTAAAAAGAAAGTTTCCTGCACAACTTCACGTTACGCTCTTTCCAATGACACCAAAAACATGACAATCGGTTCAGTATTTTCGGAGGAGTAATTGTCACAAAAAATCTGCTTGCGTATTAAATAAGTAAATAGATAGATATTCAGAAACAAACAAAACCTAGTGTTCCTGGATATTTATCCAGGAAATAAAAATATTATTTGAAATTTTTTTGTTTAACATATTAAACCAAGACTACATATTAATACCCCCGCCGCAGCAAACCTGCAGACTAAGCGAATTTCCATTTGACTGATTGGATTTACACTGAAATGTCTACTTAAAAATATAACATTTATTCCCGATTTAAATAGAATTAGTTTAACAAGTACTTAGGTTTGCTGCATCAGGGAGGGTAAAACTGTGTTTTTTTTGTTTTTGTAAAATGTTAATAGTTAGTAAGAAATAAAAACATTTTCCAAATTTGATCAAAATATGTTCATAAACAAGCAAACTACAACAGTTTACTTATTCTCCATAAAAATAACATGGGAATTTTAAATTTACAATTTTTTGGAATTTTCTCCGTAACCATTAGGCGCATAATAACGCTTCATTATACTAAATTATTTGTTTTTTTAAGATCTACAAAATGGTTTAAATTGCTAAATTTTATGTTTTTTGGGTCAAAAATGGGAAAAACCTATTTTTACCCCATAAAACCCCCCGTAAACTCCCGTTCCCATGGTCCGATCATGCTGGATCGCGAACTCGTTCGAATAAACGTAGGTTTACACGTTTGTACCAAATTTCATCAACATCGGATCATTTTTGCTCGAGTTATCGTGCTAACGGACACATATATATATATAAATATATAAATATATATATATATGAATTTGAACGGATGCTGTTTTTGGCCTCTAGGGACCTCAAAACGAAAAAAAAAACCGGTCCCGCGTCCAGATCTTACCATGAGTACTACGGTAATAGCTTATTCCCTATACGGGAAATTCGCTAAAAACCAAAATGTTTGATGGTAAATACTTAAATGATATATTTGCTTTCCGTATTATTTTTTAAGTTTCCTTTGTCACTGTCACTTTCTATGTCCATTACATTTCCTTCGTCCTTCTCGTCATCTACCTACATCTCCAAATCCACAAAAATTGTCTTCATTGTTAGGTACTTGACAAGTCAATCTCGTCCTCATCCCCTTCTTTGATCTCAAGGATGTCTTCATTTTCTTCCTGTCCTCCTGTTTCCTCTGGGTTGCCTTCTGCTTGCTTACTCTCTCTTGGAGGTTGAATATTCATGAGTTTCCAGTTGTTTGATGGTAAATACTTAAATGATATATTTGCTTTCCGTATTTTTTTTTAAGTTTCCTTTGCCACTGTCACTTTCTATGTCCATTACATTTCCTTCGTCCTTCTCGTCATCTACCTACATCTCCAAATCCACAAAAATTGTCTTCATTGTTAGGTACTTGACAAGTCAATCTCATCCTCATCCCCTTCTTTGATCTCAAGGATGTCTTCATTTTCTTCCTGTCCTCCTGTTTCCTCTGGGTTGCCTTCTGCTTGCTTACTCTCTCTTGGAGGTTGAATATTCATGAGTTTCCAGTTGTAAGAAACCCCAAAGCAGAATGGTTCCTACGTGTCTGCAACGGCCTGTGAAAACCTCAAAATGTGTCCGCAAGCGCTAAAACTAAAAAGCTAAATAATGACTTATATACCGGTATATATATATATATATATTCACTCTTTAGGGCTACTAGTAATATAGTTAAATAAAATAAGTAAATTTCAATAACTTGTATAGCCTACTTTTAAAACAAAAAACTAAAAAACTATTAAGGGGTAGGCATAATCAGGTTATTTAAATTTACTTTTTTTTAAATACGTATATATATACACATACCTTAACAAGTGTTAACAAGGTCTTCAGAAGTAAAACTTTAAATGTACTATAGTTTCTTTATATAAACACACTAGGGATGGACGGGATTGAAATTTTAGTTCGGGACGGGATTTTTATTTCCTTCCCGATTTTCGGAACGGGATGGGACAGGATTTTTTTCTGTGCATAAAAAAAGTACTGTATTGCAGTTACCAAAAAAGACATACGAAATCAATTTTTACCATTTGTGGCACTGATCTATAAAAACCAAAAAATGGGTAACAATTTACAGGTACCTATAGAAACTTGTGACTCGCGGGTCACGGGGTGATCGTCTGTAGAACTCACGGTCACGGCGCGATCGTCGTCATGACTCGCGGTCACGGCGTGATCGTCGGTATGACTCCGCGGTCACGGGGTTATCGTCGGTATGACTCCACGGTCACGGTGCGATCGTCGTCATGACTCGCGGTCACGGCGCGATCGTCGGTATGACTCGCGGTCACGGCTCGATCGTCAGCATGACTCCGCCATCACGGCATGATCGTCAGTATGACTCCGCGGTCACGGCGCGATCGTCGGTAGGACTCTGCGGTCACGGCGCGATCGTCGGTAGGACTCCGCGGTCACGGGGTTATCGTCGGTATGACTCCACGGTCACGGCGCGATCGTCGGTATGACTCCGCGGTCACGGGGTTATCGTCGGTATGACTCCACGGTCACGGTGCGATCGTCGTCATGACTCGCGGTCACGGCGCGATCGTCGGTATGACTCGCGGTCACGGCTCGATCGTCAGCATGACTCCGCCATCACGGCATGATCGTCAGTATGACTCCGCCATCACGGCATGATCGTCAGTATGACTCCGCGGTCACGGCGCGATCGTCGGTAGGACTCTGCGGTCACGGCGCGATCGTCGGTAGGACTCCGCGGTCACGGCGCGATCGTCGGTATGACTCGCGGTCACGGCGCGATCGTCGGTAGGACTCCGCGGTCACGTCGTGATCGTCGGTATGACTCGCCATCATGGCATGACCGTCAGTATGACTCCGCGGTAACGGCGCGATCGTCGGGAGGACTCCGCGGTCACGGCGCGATCGTCGGTATGACTCGCGGTCACGGCGTGATCGTCGGTATGACTCGTGGTCACAGCGTGATCGTCGGTAGGACTTCGCGGTCACGGCGCGATCGTCGTTATGACTCCGCGGTCACGGCGTGACTGTCGGTATGACTCCGCGGTCACAGCCCTATCGTCGTTATGACTCGCGGTCACGGTGCGATCGTCGGTCCAATAATCGCGGCCACGGCGCGATCGTCGTTATGACTCCGTAAATGTGTCCGCAGGCCCGCGTTTCTCGGCGTTTCGTGTCCGCGACAATGTCGCAGCGTCGCTCGTTGTTCTGCTTTGGGGGTAAGAAAGAAATGTCAGTTTTGCTGCTCGCTCAGATGAAAGCCTGTTTCTTTTCTTGGAATTCAATAATTAAAATCCATTCAGTTTCATAAATTAAAAGTGGTTTTTACAGGAAAATCATGCATGGAATGACAACTCTTAGATTTAAATGTATAAATTTACAAAAGGTAACATAGTTTAAAGGTTCTTTAACCATCAATATGTGTTAAAACATTCAAAATTTTAAAATTTTCATAAATTCCCGGCAATATTCCCATTTTATAAGTTCCCTCCCACTGGGAATATTACCGGCCCACATCACTATCAGTATCAGAAGCACCGTATCGTCTATCTGCCAGTGTCAAGTCAAGGCCAAGTAGAACATAAAGTGTGAGGTTAAGTTAGTTGGTACTCTTACTTTTCCAGATTCCAGATGTTTAATTCTTTTCTTATTGGTTTTATGAGTAAACTATTTAGGCCTACATTTTTTCTAATAATTCTTGACAAGCTGCTATACCCGTGCTTTGCAACGGGGAGAAAATGTGATCTAGAGAGCTATTGAAGTGGTCCTGATGGGTGTTTTAAAATACAGCAACTCTATGATTTAGTTTGAAAATATAAACTGATATAAATTGTAAACCTACTTACTTTCAAACACCTACTTTTAATGTTAATATAGATCCAAAAGAATATGACAACATACCTTTAGTGTAGCAATAGCATCAATTGCTTTATATTGATGATTCATGAATGACATGTTTGACCATAATCCTTCAATTTTGGTCAAGCCTTTTTACATGTAGCTTACTATATAAATTACAAATTGAAACTTTGAGCAATACTTTACAAAACGTATACAACCTTTCTTTAAAACCAAACATAACCCTCCTAAAACTACATAAAGGATCACAAACAAATTTTTCGAGTAAATAAACAAACACCACTTCATTGTACTGACCAGCTGTTTCATTAAATAAATTGAATTAAATCATCTTTGGAAGCATGCCAGGCGTAGCCCTTTGGAAATCAGCCTGTGGGGCAGAGCCCTTAGGAAATTCATCCATATCAATACTTTTCGGCAAATCTACACACTCCAAGCTTCATTTTGATGTGCCATATGCCTATATTATTATTTGGTAAATGGCCTTAACCGTTAACATAACATTTGATTGTATCACTTTAATAATATAATAGATTCTTACTATTCGATATCGTCTTACGGTATACCTGGAAAAAGTATAATATCAGTCTGGAAAACCTGGAAAAGTCAGGGAATTTCATTTTCCAAAATCAGTACCAACCCTGTATTACAAAGCCACTGCCTACTGATCCTTACAAAGCCACTGCCTACTGATCCAGAACGTGCTGCTACCTTTCGTTGTTTTAGGGAACTACGTCCAATCTCGGGGTAACGTAGTACAATCACCGCTACTCTTTTGTTATTCGTCAGATTGAAATATTTGAATGCCAATTGCGTTCGCTGTTACGGTGCCGCGCCGGGGCTTCGCCCGGGCCTCGCCGCCATTGGCGAGCGCCTGTTGGAATGCCTGCCGCACTGAACGTGTTAAGTGCGTTTCTTAATATGTGTATGGCCCCTAAGCCTATTTATACTAAGAAATTTTTCATGTCTATTATTTATATCTATTGCTGACAATTGCACTCCATGATGCACTGCCTCTTTGTTGACATGATCAAAGCATTGTATTTGTGTTTATAGGATAATAAAGATTGATTTAATTTCATCTCATATTTTATATCACTTCAATTATCAAGGTATAGTAAACCAAAAGAATAACATGATTTTGGCTATAGCACTCTCTGTGAGCGGTTCATTCAACTATTCTCAGGCTACAAAGATGTCTTCTTCAGCATTACCAGTCATTAAGCCTAAGTGTAGTACCTCAGGCCTCTTTTATTCTTACCTATAATGTTTTAATTTTATTGTGTTTTGTTGTAGGAATATGACAGTTCTGACTACCCTCAGCGTGTTGGTCGTCAGAAACACATCCTGGACATTGAGTTCACTTTTGCAGACTCTCGTATTGGCAGGGGTGGCCGTGGAGGTAGAGGTGGTGGTCGCGGTGCTCCCAGGGGAGGACAACGCGGCCCTCCTCGTGGCAACAGTTCTGACAATGCCCCTGGCGTGAGTATTCTTTTTGTCTTATGGTCTAGCAGTCTAATGGAGGAAGGTCTAAACAAAACTTGATAATTTGAAATTAGTACATGTTCATTCTTATGGATAGTAGATACAAAAATGATATATCTCAATCCATCTATATACTTCTTAAACTGTGTTGGAAAACTTTAAATACAGTATTATTAAATTATGCTAAGTAAACACTCTATAGGATTAAATAAAAACAGAACAAGGTGAATCCCTATAATTTTTTTAACCCTATATCTGGCATTCGTCAATTTTTTGATGTTGGAAAGTGTGATCTGGCAGCGTCAAAAAATTGACGTTTAGGACATGGTGTGTTTCAACTTAATTTTTCGACCAGTAAACTCTCTTAAATTGCAATAAAACTTATACCATTGGAAAGAGGAGGTTCTCAGGATTAATTTTCATGTATAAAACATTATCCGGCGATTATTATTTAGCCAAAAAACAGTATTCTAAAAAACTAGTGATTTGAAATTGTATACTGGCGGGAGATAAAAATTGTGCCATCGGCAAAAAACAGCTGTTTTCATTGGCTGATAGAAAATGATAGAATTCTCTGACAAAACAAGAGTGGTATCATAGCAACGGATATTTCGTGAACTACATCTCTTCTGTTATACGTTTTTGTCTATCTCGTTTCCATAAGGTCGACAAATTATTCCAAAAAATGTCATGTTTTTGTCAATTTTCGCGAACGTGAATATGGGCATTCGTAAATTTTTTGACAAATGGAAAACGCTATTATATTTTTGGCTAAATAATCATTTCCGAGTAATATTTATATCGGAAGAAAGCTATTTAGTAGTTCGTCAAATTGACACCAGTTGCAGGTCTGTACGGCGAGTATTTTTGTTTTGCGCCGTGGGAGAAGTCAGCCCTGATTTCTCGAATCAGACGTTCAGTCTGGCGAGTCGCCATCGCCATTTTGGATGTGTCTTTTCATTGTGTAGCGTTATAGTTTGAAGTTTTACTTTCTGATGTCAATAGATCGGTGGTTTTATAACCAAATGTATGAAAGTATATATTTTCTGAAAGAACTTTTTATTTTCTTTCTGATAGTATAACAATATATACTTACAATCAGTTATTTTTTATAATATTTTACAAAATTGTGAAATTATTCCCTGATTTTAGTACGCATTTACATATATTTGTGTGAAAACATTTTTATTCCACTTTTTGCATAACAATGTTACATTTTTGGAAACTGCAATAAATTCCCTTCAATTTGTATATCTTGGAATTTGTATAAAGTTACCTATAAAAATTTTACGCGCTTTTGAAAATGCCCAAAAATTCATGTTTTTGAAAGAAAGAATTTTACGTTTTACTTTCTGACGTCAATAACTTGGTTGTTTTATAACCAAATTTTCTATATGGCCGAAAACAAATGCATTTTTTAGGGGGGAAAAGTTGTTTTGGAAAACATTCTATAACTTTTCTATTTTTTTGAACTTATAGAATATATTTATATTTTGACGTAGGGAAATAAATTTGCCACAACTTTTACATTTGAATCAAATGTGTAGGAATTTTTTTAGATTGCATTTTTGTGGGTAGCTTTTAAAATTTGTAATTTGCAAAACCCAAAAATTTGAAAAAAAACCTGCTACTGTGCCCAAAAGGATTGCTAAAAAAAATTACCTTTTACATCATTATATTCTACATATGTACTTATATTCATAAATAAATGTGTTACGACAAAAAATACGTTACAATAACCGAGTGCACAAAATGACTCCGCCACTACAGAAATTTCTAGTGCGCCAGATCTAGGGTTAAGTATAAAACTAATTTGTGTTTTTTTTTTTACTTTGACTATACTTGACACAATCATGTCAATATTAAAACATTGTAATGACAAATACTGACAAAAGAAAAAAGGCGATACGAGCCGGCAATGCCTGAGCAGCAGAAATGCCACTAATTTTTTTGAGGTTCTGTAGACGACTCTTCCAGCTTACCAATGGTTAGCGGCCAACCTAGTATTGTGATTTTCATTTTCTAGGTTACCGCAGATCATTTGTACGTTAAAATAACACCTATCTTTAGGGGTGTCCGAATAGTGATTTTTAGATTCAAATCGAATCAAATATATTTTTACTATTCCGAATATCGAATATTTACGAGCGAATATTCAATCGAAGAGTTTTTAAGTTCAATTGAGTTTGAGATCAACTTAAGACAGCATGTTATGTAAGTATAATACAATGTAAGCCTACAAAAACTATAATTTATGTAATCAAAAATAAAAAGTTAGATATGATTGTGTTTACTTATTTATATCACCGTTTCCTTTTCCCCCTACCATTAATAATGTATCATTCATGACCCAGGCCTAGGTATAGCGAGAGTTTTAGTTGGTGGTTTTTACATTTTCTGTTAATTTTGTATTCTGAAAAATAAAATAAAATAATGATCCGTCATTTACTGTTGTATTATACTGTAGAACAGATTTCCCTGCCGTAAATCAAGAAATAAAGAAATCCCAACCTCCATAGCATAAAATGAAAATAATTTTTTTTGTCTATTTAAACCTTACTTCCTCAACCATAACAACATTTTATGTTAGGTAATGGGCACCTACTTGCGCCATACCAACGCCGGAACCAAGTCGTCCAAGCCCAAAAATGTTCGTTAAGAAATTGTATGTTATTTTAGATGAGTGAAGGAAAAGAAAAAAATATCTTACATGTTGAAATATAGCTAAATTTGGAGTAAGATCAAGACGAAAGTACCGATGGTGTGACAAAAAAATGGTATCGGTATTCCTACTTTTTACCACAAAGTAAAATTTTATTTAAAGCAAACGAAATAGGGTTTTACACGGTTGTTTTATTTTCCAAGAAAGCTGGTTGAACCATAGACTAAACAACACAAATAGCCTTCTCATCCCATTGTGAATTATGAAGCTCGTTTTTCGTGTCTACTTTATGGTTGTTGTAGGTACACTTTGGTGATTTTAAATTAGTTTATCGATACAGTAGTATACTCTGAGTAGTATACTTAATACAATTTTAAATAACATATTAATTAAGAAGTATTAATTCAATCCACAGTCGAGCGTCGATTGGGAATCATAATCGTATTGAGTATTGTCTACTAAATCGTCGTGCTGTCTGCTTCGTCCTAGTTTAACTGTCAGTCAGTGTGAGTGTCTGTCTACACACACACACACACACATACGGGGTTTTACCGAATACTCGCAAACACCTAATTGTGGCATCTTTCAAACTGCGGCCACCAGTGGATGAAGGAAGGTGGTAGAAACATGTGTGCATCGATATTTTTAATGAACACTCCATTTTAACATCTAACATTCCAGTTTTCAATTGTAGCACCTTGCCACAAATCGGTATATATCAACAGTGTGTGGACAGGATGCCACTAATGCGTTGTAGCGCTTGAGCGGTGTGTTCGCCCCCCCTACTTTTCGCATGCGCTGTTGCCAGTTCTCCGTTCTAGTTCCTTCATTCAGTTCTGTATTCATGTGGCTTTGTCCTAGCCGCTGTAGCTCATTGCGATTGCCCGCGCTCCTCACGTCATCTTTTATTAGTGTAACGATTTTTTTTACATGCCGTTTTTTCCAAGCTCCAATAATTTTGACAATTATTGGATTTAAAGTCAATGGGTCAAATGCTATGTCGTTGATATTTTATCGTCACATTATATGTATGGTTTACGAACTTAGATACTTGGATTAAAGGCCTTAATGTGCTGGGTAAATTATCAGTTTCATGGGAATATACAAGAAATATACATAAAAATACGCAATAAGTATGACTCCGTTTTTTCTGTATGCATATAATTAATTCATGGTAATGTAAAAGTATATGTAACGAATTTTTCACCACACTATGATGTTTTTAGCTGTTTTACATACGTTAATTGGTGGCTGAAAGTTATGTTTTGCTGGCCATGCCAGTTGTCATCATCATATAGGGGCCGAGGAGGCGTTTACACCCCTAGGGCCGCAAAATTACTTGTTCGCTTATTTACTTAAAACATTAATGTATATTAAATGCACAAGCTGTATCCATGGCATTGCAATAGACTTGTTTTTTGTCACAGCTGCCTAGACAACTATTTATTATTATTTTTGATTTTGCTGATTTCTCAAAATATTTCACATAAAGAGGGACGTTATATTGCAAAACATACTTGGGTGAAAAATAGCGTTCGTACCTCGAGCCGAAATGGGTTTGCAGCTCTCGATCGTTTCACGTTCTCAACTTCGTCTCGAACTTAAGACCCGATCTCGAGTCGGCAAAACGTCACTTTCGGCCCTAGGTACAAAATATACTATTTTTTACGGTGGATTTAGAGACCCAAAGATTCTCACCCCGTTGCGAAGCACGGGCAGAAACACTATCTATACTTATTTAATACGCAAGCACGATTTTTGTGACAATTACTCCTCCGAAACTACTGAACCGATTGACATGTTTTTGGTGTCATTGGAAAGAGCGTAACGTGAAGTTGTGCAGGAAACCTTCTTTTTAAGGAAATAATTAGAGAGTGAGGCCCTGGGGCCCTTTAAAGTTTTGTATTTCTCCATAAGGATAACAAGGGAGATAATTTTTATTTACAGAAACATATGTTTGTTACTTGAAAATAGTCAAAGTCTACTGCATAATAATTGCTGTGTATTATGACTGTTAATGTATACTACATTTCAATCAAGGATTGTGTGCCTTAAACTTTACTCATAATGGATCTCACTACTTTATTTTCCTGTTGGGAATAGTAAAATTTAGTTGAGAATAAGTTACCATATTTAGAAAACTTTACTATAATAATTGATGTATTTAAAATCACAAATCTTTGACATTATTAATTCATTAGAAACGAAACAGCTGATCGAGAAATCAAACAAATCATCTACTTCATGTGAATAATGTTTTTACACAAACATAGTTTTTTTTAACCAATAACTTGATTCTTTTTTACTTCTGGGTGTATTTTGAGTTTGCAGTTAT